ATTGATTTAGTTTGAAGGGATATATGCAAAATGAAAGCTATATTTTGGATAAAAAATATGTAAAATATATTGGAGAAAATTGAAGTAGTTCTCATCTGGGGTAATCCCCCTGCCCCAGGGGACAGTCGGCAATGTCTGGACATTTTTGGTTGTGACAACGCAGGAGTTGGGGTTGTAGGGAAGGTGGAAGTTATTGGCAACTACTAGATAAAGGTCAAGGATGCTGCTAATCATTCTACAACATACAGCTTCCCACAATACAGAATTCTCCAGCCCCAAATGTCAATAGTATGAAGGATGAGGAACCCATTGGATGCTTCCTGTTTATTTTAAACCAGAACATAAATTTCCTTGAACAATAAAACAAACAATGAAATACCTTCAAGTTCTTATTTTCCAAAGACTTTCCATTCACTTAAAATAAGGTTCTATTTGCCAGAATGGATAACTTTGATGGCAAAAGATTATACATGGTGGATGAGGCCATGCCTCTTAGGCTAAACTGTCCTACTTCTCCTGCCTATTGGTAATCTATCTTTTGCTTCTCTCCTGTACCTTTGGTTTCTTCCTGTCAATTATCTCTCACATTTAAACAACAACAGCAACAACAAAATTCTCTCTTTTCTTTTTTCTGTACATATTGACTACCCTTCTCCCTCCCTTTTTCACTCCAAATCCTTGCAGAGTAATCTACAATTATTTGCAAACTTTTCAGGCCACTGAGATTTCTCTAGCAAGTTATTACTAGTGCTTTTTTGGTTGTCAAATCCGGTGCACACATTTCCTTTCTTGTCTTTAGTTCTCTGTCAATTTTTGTATTGTTGATCAATTTCTTCTCAAAAACTTCCTTTTCTTAACTCTGTGGCTGCTCTTCCTCAGTCCCTTGAGGGCGGTTCTGTTTCTGCCCCTTTTCATATTGGTATTCCTCAGGATTCTGTCCTTAATCAGCTTTTTCTTTTCACATTGCTCTTTCTGAGAGAAATTCATTCCCATAGAATTAAAAACCAGTTTATTTTCCACGTCTCTCAAATATAGAACCTGTAGCTTTGACTTTGCTCCAGAGTTCTGGATCTATATGTACATCTACTTTCTCCTAGATGAGCCACCGGCATCTCAAATGCAGAGTGTCCAGACCTGAATTTCTCTCTTCATGCCCAACCTGTTTGTCTTTCTATATCCCTTATATCTTCATGATAGATACCACAATCCAGACAGCTACTCAAACTGCAAACTCTGGGGTCATTCCAGACTCATTTTTCCTCACTTCCCACCTATCCTATCAGTCACCAAGTCTTTTGTATTTTACCTTGTGAATATCTCTCGTGTTCATTTCTTCTTCTCCATATCCAATGGTAGCCTCTTGGTTTAGGTATGTCTGAATCACCCATATGGATGCTGAATTATGTATGAAACAGGAGTGTTCTTTTTTTTTTTTTATAGCAGCCTTTAGTATTTAGCATAGTTGTCCCTGGTGTACTTGGATGATCGGTTTCAGAATCCCCCGTGGATACCAAAGTCTGCAGATGTTCAAGTCCCTTATATAATATGGGGCAGTATTTGCATATAAACTACACACATCCTCCCATATACTTTAAATCATCTCTAGATTGCTTATAATGCCTAATACAATGTAAATGCTATGTGAATAGTTGTTGCACTGTATTTTTTAAAATTTGTATTATTTTAATTTTTATTTTATTTTTTAATTTTCAATCCATGGTTGGTTGAACCACAGTTTATTGAATTCAGATATGGAGGGCTGACTGTAGATGGTTTTGTGAACATTTCTCTGATTTCTGAGTCTCTTCTTATAGATCGCAAACTCAAATGCCTGTTAGGGTCCAGGAAGTTAAAATCAGTAAGTGTAGCAAGCCTCATGTTTCTTAGTTCCAGCCAGTTGTTTGGCAGAAAGCATCTCGGATCTGTGTTGCCAGACCCTCTGTTATTTCAATGGAAACAGAAAATTCAGGTTTAGTATGATCTGCCTTCATTCAATTATGAAAAACTGTGCAGGCCAAGAAAATGGTTCTTTGGTATAGATTTGGTTCATTGCCACCAGCTTATGACCTGAAGATTGTTGGGGCGGGCAGTAGGAGGAATAGTGCATGCTGCTCTGGGCCCTCCGCTGTTTGGGCGCTGGTTTGGCTGAGGATGCCTCCACCCCAGGGGCTCTGCCTCCACCTCTGAAGATAGTGGCCTCCTTTCACCAAGTGACACCAGCATGTGGAGTGCGGCTTAGCAGAAGGAGCCTGAGCCATAGGCCCCAGCCTGTTGGAATGTTGGAGGCCTAGGCAGGTTTTCAGTGGATTCAGAATTCCCTCTGTGAGGTGGAAGTGGAGGATAATGGGTTAAATTATAAGTGATAGTGGGAGTACAACCATACTAAAAAATTGTATAGAATGTGCCAAGCCATGTGCTTTTTCTTATAAAATTTAATTTAATTTTTACAATAACCCTGAGAAGGAGATATTGCCATCCTCAGTTTGCAGTTATTGAATCTGTATGAGAGTCAAAGATTTTTTTTTTGCGTTCCCACCATTAGAACAGATTAACTCTAGAATTAAGGCCTCCTGATTCTGCCCTACAAGGAAAGCACATGTATGGGATTTTAGAAATAAATTAAGCATGTTTTATTATTTTCCTCTAGAAATTGCTACTTGGATTTTTGAATTAGAAAAATTGTTTATTTGTTCATAGATTGATTCATTCATTTCCTCAACATTTATTAAATACTCATTATGCTCTGTATTTGGTACTGATAATGCAAAGCTGATTAATATACCATTCCCATGCTGGAGAAGTCCTAAGTGATCGATTGCTTCTGTTTGTTTCAAGTGTGAAGGGAGGGGCAGATTCTGGGAGAAGAGGTGTAAATAATCTGGAAATTTGGTGGCCAAATTCCAAAAAAAATTGTCACTCCTTTTTTTTTTTTCTTTTTGCAACAAACAAACATACTTATAGAAGAATTAGAAATTACAAACAAACAAAATTAAGGAAAAAGTCTCCTCCTAACCAGTGTGAGCAACTCTCTATTTAATACTTACCTATCTTTTTGACTATTTATATGGATATTTCTTTATACATGCACAAACACACATCCACACAGAGATCACACTGTATTACTGTTTTATAGTCTTCTTTCTTATTTAGGAATATATTGAAATGTTCTATTAATGTTTGAACATTTTTATGGCTAAATAGCATCTTATTGCATGAAGATAATTCAACGAACTTAATCTACCATTGTTAAATATTTAGGTAATTTCTAATTTTTTTACAGCTCATGCCATATAGAGAACTTTTTTAGCTAAATCTTTTTATGTATCCTGAATTATTTCCTTAGGAAAAATTATTAGCAATATAATTACTGGATTTAAGGATTTGCACATTTTTTGAGTGTTTTTGCTTTTATTTTCTGTATACTGCTAAATCGTCCTCCAGAAAAGCAGTGCTAATTTACCCATCACCCGTAGATTTAAATTTCTACTTCTCCTTACTGTTTCCAACCCTAGGTACCATCTCTTTTTTTAAAAAAATCTTTTCCAATTTGATAGGCAGAAGAGAGTATCTCTTTTGAAAGATGCTTTTTGAAAATTCTTTTGACCTTTGAACTTGCTAGTTACTATTGTTTTGTGGTAGAGTACTGTCGTTTAGTGTCATGGTTAATTGGTTGGCTGACTATCTGCCTTAGTAGTTTTGGAGCAACTTGAGGGTCGACTATGTCCTATTCACCTGTGTGTTTCTTGATGCCCATCAATGTTTGTTGAACTGAATTGAATTGGAGAACTTGCCTAGTATAAATTTCAATACAACCAGTGGGCAGGTTATTTTATTCCTGTTGGTTGCATAATAATGAGTAATTTTTATTGAGCATCGATTACATGCCAGCACTGCATTAAGTGCTTTGCATACCTATGTAGCAAAAACAGGTCTTGACCTCAAGACCAGCTAATTCCCAAGCCATTTTTCTTTTTCTCCTCTCTCCTACCCTCTTTTCCCCTTCCCTCTTTTCTCCTTTCCTATTTTATCCTCTTTATATTAGAGACATTTTAAAATATGTACAGTTTAGAGAGAATAGCATAATGAACCTTGATATGCCCACCACCTAGCTTCAACAATTATCAACATGTGGCCAATCTTGTTTCATCTATGTCTTTCCCTCACTCCTTGCACCCTCCTTCCTGTGTTGGATTATTTTAAAGCAAATCAAATGTACAGTAATTTCATTAATAATTATTTAGATATATATATATATCTCTAAGAGATATGGTCTCTGTTTTTCAACCTAAACCACAAAATACATATTTAAAATATAGATATTTTAAAGTATCTATATCAATTCCTTAATATCATCTAACATCCAGTCAATGTTAAATCTCCTCGATAATCTCATCAGTGACATGGTAAAATTGGTTTGTTTGAATCAGTATCCACACAAGGACCGCACATTGTATTCTGAACAATGCCAAACACAACACAGTATTCCTCTCTCCCCCGTAAAACATGAGGCCTGGCCCTCTCAGAGACAGAGATACTTAGCTGGAAGAATCTGAAATTTTTAAAGAATTCCCATGAGTGGAATATTTAATTCATATCTCCCCAGAAAGAAGCACACTCAATGGTTAACACCTGAGAAACACTAGGTCTGTGTGGAATGGAGAAGGCAATTTGCTACGTGGGTTCATTGTGCATTCTTCCTGGAAATCTGCTGTTCTGCTTTTGTTCTAATTCTCCATCACAAGCCATGGCCAAGTCTCCTCCCTTAAGATGCATAGTTATATGTAAGTGATGCTGGTTTAAAACTTCTGTCTTTAGCATTCAGTTGAAAAAATAAGACATGCTGGCCTTTGTATCTCTTTCTGGCAGGGAGAGAATGACTTAGAAATGGAAGCCACAGGCTTCTTATTTTCATAAATGAGTCATAACTATGATAGAATATTTTCCATGAAGCAGAATTTCAAGTTTTCATATTTGCTTTTGGTTCTGTTTTGAACTTGAAGGTCTAGTGATCCTCCAGTGTGTGGTGGCAGATGGGAATTCAACCAGCAGTCCTGAAACTGATGTTCTTCTCTGTGGAGATCCTGAGGAAAATTGTGCAGGTAATACCTAACAAGCTTCATGTCCAGTCTTGGAAAAGTGACTTCCCTTAGTTTTATTCTTTTGATAATGGTAGTAATCATAATACTAGGTAGTTTTCTGAGCACATGCCTCCACTATTAACCATTACCCTATTCTGGGTGTCATATGTGGGCTCCAGACGCTAGTATGTGATATCTGGGACCAGATTCATGGAAAGTTTCATGGAAAGCATATTTTATTCAAATTTAATTTTTTTCTTTTCTATTCCATACCTAAAACAAGAGAAGAAGGCAAGGATTTCTTATATTTTACCTTGCAGATGCTTGAATTAGTGTTCTCAAAATCATTAGCCTAAGGCCTTAGTAAAACATCAGATAATAAGTATTTTAGGCTTTGTGGGCCAAGCTTTCTTTGCTGCAAGTACTCAACTCTGCCATTGTTTTGTGAAAGCAGCCGTAGAAGTTATGCAAATAAATAGGCTTGACTGTGTTCCAACAAAATGTTATTTAGAGGAACAGACTGTGGGCCCCATTAGGCCCTTGGACCACAGTTTGCTGACCCCTGGCCTAAGTTTCTATTCATTTGGTGTAGATGGTATAGTTTGATCTTCTACAGGGGTTGTTTCTGATTTAAAAACAAATAAACCCGCCCCCCCAAAAACAAAAAACAAAACAAACGAAGGACGGGCCAATTTAAAAAGTAGGGTGGCATGGAGAAGAGCCTCCTGTATTCCCTGGAAACTTCTCTGAGCTGGGAGCATGGTGACTTGGTGTGAAGTGCCCCTTTCCTTGCACCCTGGGGAGGTTGTCACTGAGCCAGGAACATGCTGAGCAAGGCTTCCTGATGTGAGTCATCAGCTCCAGCCCAATCTTCTTCTTTCATCCCTCACAGTGGTGGGTGGTTGGGAGGGTACGCATAGGCTGTGGAATCCACTGGTGTCTTAGGTCATACTTGTGTGGGCCTGTCACCCATACAGGGAGAAGAACAAGGCCAACTTTATGTGTCTGTGTGTTTTTCTTTAGTCTGGTTTCAAATGTCTTAGATGATGGTATTTTTCACATTTCCTTTGGAAAATTATTCCATAATCTGATGATTGACAACATTCAAAAATCTCCCTCATCAACATCCTAAATGTGTTTTCTAATTTTATTTTTATTGTAGTAAGAACATGCAATGTAAAAATCTACCTTTTTAATAAATTTTAAGGTGGACAATGCAGTATTGTTAATTACAGGCACAATGTTGTAAAGCAGATCTCTCGAATTTCTTCATCTTACATAACTGAAACTTTATACCTTCTGAATAGCAACTCCCAGTTCCCCCTTCCCCAAGCCCCTAGACACCACCATTCTACTTTCTGCTTTGTGAATTTGCCTATTTTAGATACCTTGTATGAGTGTAAGTTGAATCATATATTTGTCCTTCTGTGACTGGCTTATTTCACTTAGCATAATGTCCTCCAGGTTCATCTATGTTGTCATATATTGCAGAGTTTTCTTCTTTTATAAGGCTGAATAATATTTTATGGTGTGTACTTCCCACATTTTCTGTCTCTTCATCTGTCAATAGATACTTGGATTGCTTTCACTTTTGGCTATTGTGAATAATGCGGCAATTAACATGGGAGTACAAATATCTCTTTGAGATTCTGATTTCAATTCTTTTGGTCAACGACCATACCACCCTGAAAATTCCTGATCTCATCTGGTTTCAATTCTTTTGGATAAATACCCAGAAGTGGGATTTCTGGATCATGTGGTAGTTCTATTTTTAATTTTTTGAGATACTTGCATACTGTTTTCCATAGCAGCTGCACCATTTTAGATTCCCACCAACAGTGGACAAGGGTTCCAGTTTCTCCACATCCTCCCTAGCACTTGCTATCTTTTGCTTTTTGGATAATGGCGATCTTAGCAGGTGTGAAGTTATATCTTATTGTGATTTTGATTTGCATTTTCCTGATGATTCATAATTTTGAGCATCTTTTCATATACCTGTTGGCCATTTGAAAGTCTTCTTTGGAAAGATGTCTATTCAAGTCTTAGCCCATTTTTAAATTGGGTTGTTTTCTTGCATGTTTTGGATATTAACCTCTTATTGAATGCATAGTTTAAAAACTTTTTCTTTTATTCCATAGGCTACCTTTTCATTCTGTTAATTGTTTCCTTTGCTGTGTGGAAGCTTTTTAGTTTGGCATAGTCTGACTTGTTTATTTCTGCTTTTGTTGCCTGTGCTGTTGCCATCACATTCAAGAAATCATTGCCAAGACCAATGTCAAGCAGTTTTCCCTGATGTTTTCTTGTAGGAATTTTACAGTTTCAGGTCTTACATTTAAATTTTTAGTCCATTTTGTGTTAACTTTTGTGTATGGTATAAGAAAAAGGTCCTGTTTCATTTATTTGCATGTGGAAATCCAGTTTTCAAACATCATTTGGAGAGACTATCCTTTCCCTACTGTGTATTCTTACTGAAGATCACTTGAACATATGTACATATGTTTATTTCTGGGCTCTCTATTCTGATCAATGGTCTCTGTCTGTATTTATGCCGGTACCATAGTGTTTTAATTACTATAGCTTTAATACATTTTGAAATCAGGAATCGTGATGCCTCTAGCTTTGTTCTTGTTCAATACTATTTTGACTATTCAGGGTCCTTTGTGGTTCCCTACAAATTATAGAATTGTTTTTCCACTTCTATAAAAAAAAGTCATTGGAATTTTGATAGGAATTACATTGAATCTGTAGATCACTTTGAGTAGTATGAACATTTTAACAATATTAAAATTTCCAACCCATTAACAAGGAATGTTTCTCCATTTATTTGTATCTTCTTTAATTTATTTCATCAATATTTCATAGTTTTCAATATACAAGCCTTTCACTTCCTTAGTTAAATTTATTCCTAAGTATTTTATTCTTTCTGATGCTATTGTAAATGGGTTTATTGTCTTGATTTCTTTTTTGATAGTTTGTAGTTAGCATATAGAAATGCAACTGGTTTTTGTGTGCTGATTTTGTATTCTACAGTTTTGCTGAATTCATATATGAGTTCTAGTAGCATTTTGTTTTTGCTTTTGTGGAGCCTTTGGGATTTTCTATGTATAAGATCATGTCATCTGTAAACAGAGGTAGTTTTACTTCATCCTTTCCAATTTGGATGCCTTTTATTTATTTTTCTTTTCTAATTGCTGTGATTAGGAATTCCAGTACTATGTTAGATAGAAGTGATGAGAGTGGGCATCCTTGCCCTGTTTCTGAGGAAAAGCTTTCAGTTTTTCGCCATTCAATATGATGTTAGCTGTGGGCTTTTCATATATGGCCTTTATTATGTTGAAGTAGTTTTTCTTCTATTCCTAGTTTTGATCATGAAAGTGTGTTGAATTTTGTCAAAAACTTTTTTCTGCATCTATTGAGAAGATCATGTGATGTTTATCCTTTATTCTGTTAATTTGGTGTTATCACATTGACTGATTTTTGTATGTTGAACTCTCCTTGCATCCCTGGGATAAATCCTACTTGGCCATGTTGTATGATCCTTTTATTTTGCCACTGGATTCAATTTGCTAGTATTTTATTGAGGATTTTTACATCGATGTTCATCGGGAATATTGACCTGTAGTTTTCTTTTCCTGTAGTGCCTTTGGTATAAGAGTAATGCTGGCCTCATAAAATGAGTTTGGAAGTGCTCACTCCTCTTCAATTCTTTTGGAAGACTGAAAGAATTGGCATTAATTATTTAAATGTTTGATAGAATTCACCAGTGAAGCTATCTGGTTCTGGTGCTTTCTTTGTTGGGAGGTTTTTGATTACTGATTCAATCTCCTTATAAGTTATAGGTCTGGTAAGATTTTCTATTGCTTTATGTTTCAGTCGTGGTAGGTCATGTTTCTAGGAATTTATCCATTTCTTCTAGGTTGTTCAATTTGTTGGTGTGTAATTATTCATGGTAGTCTTGTATAATCCTTTTAGTTTCTGTGGCATCAGTTGTAATGTCCCCTCTTTTGTTTCTAGTTTTATTTATTTGATTTAATGTCTTCTTAGTAAGTCTAGCTAAAGGTTTGTCAATTTTGTTTATCTTTTCAAAAACAACTCTTAGTTTTGTTGATTTTTTTCTATTGATTTTCTATTCTCTATTTCATTTATATTTATTCTAATATTTATTAATTTCTTCCTTCTACTAACTTTAGGCTTAGCTTGTTCTTATTCTAGTTCCTTAAGGTTTAAAGTTAGTTGTTTATTTGATATTTTTCTTCTTTTTTTAAGGTAGGCATTTATCACTATAAACTTGACTCAATACTGCTTTTGCTGCATCCTATAAGTTTTGGTATGTTGGGTTTTTGTTTGCCTTGAGATATTTTCTAATTTCTCTTTTGATTTCATCTTTGATCCGTTGGTTGTTTAGAAGTGTGTTGTTTGTGTTGTTTCCACATACTTGTGAACTTTCCAGTTTTTCTTCTGCTATTATTGATTACTAGTTTCAATCCATTGTGGTCTGAAAAGATACTTGTTATGATTTCAGTCTTCTGAAGTGAGTTAAGAATTTTTGTGTCATAACATAAACTCTATCCTGGAAATGTTCTGTGTGCACTTGAGAAGAATTTATATTCTACTGCTGTTGGGTAGAATGTTCTGTATATGTCTGTTAGGTCCATTTGGTCTATAATTTTGTTGAAATCCACTGTTATCTTATTAATTTTCTGTCTGGATGTTCTATCCATTATTGAAAGTGGGATATTGAAGTCTTCTAATATTATAGTATTGCTATCCTTAGGACAGTACTCTGGATGGCCTTGGACCAAACCAGATCTATCCCCTTTCTTGCTTACAGTTCTCAAGAATAACTGTAGAATATGCTGAGAATGCACTATCCTGAGATAAGGAGGAACCAGCTGGGACAGCCTGGCTTTGTTCCTGTCTCTACTAGAATGGGATGTCCTGCACTGCTTTAGCCTAGTGAGTCACATTTCCCCAGAATATAAAACCCAGAGCGGGCTGCTTTTCAGGGTTCCTCAACTGCA